AGTCATATGTAAAAGAATCGTTTCTGGCCACTCCCAAGTGAATGGCGATCAGAAAACTTTCCTCACTTGCGTGAACTTCTACACATGACTCCATCCTCTAAATTATACATGCCGTCTATTAAAATTCAAAAGTAATGACATTTGAACTTTAATAGGAGTGCTAACAAGTCACTGTCTAGTTGTTAGAGATGTCAGTAAAAACCAACAATTAATATTTTATAGATATTGTATTTTAACCCAAGTTCAAGATAAGAAAACTGTAGAAAACTATCTATGTGAATGCAAAGCTATGTATAGCAAAAGAAACACAATTACCGGTGAAGGGTCTCTCGATGGTATCTCGAAGGTTGCACAGATACAACTTTTTGTATTAAGTCACTTCATCAGGAGCAGAATATGGCTGAGCGAGGACTGTATGAAGGAATTTATTCCTGGTGATTTCACAATGGGCTTCCTGAACGCCTAGGTGACTAAAATCGTTTCAATCGTTAAAATCAGAAAGACAAATAAAGCAATTTAGGAAGGTGTTCTGATACCGGCTTATATAATATAGGTTTCTATGGATTTAAGTAATACCGATATTACTCAAATTTCTAGAAGAGTGGCATTCACGAATAATTGATTTACCTTATGCTGGTTTTAATTTTATGTAATTGCGCTTTTGTAAATTAAGTTAATTAACTTACTGGCAATCCGCACTTTGCTTCCCATAAAAACTAATTTATTTTTCGTCGTAAGGGTGTAATGGAATAAAAAAAGGTGATTTTTGGGTATTTTTATTAAAAAAAAATACTTTATCAATTATTTCAAAACTTTAAGAATATATTTATACATATTTCAAGAATACACAGTGACATTTTTGAAGAAAAAAATTAAATATTTTTTAAGTTATAGTTGATCTCCAACGGCGCGAAAAAAAGGTCCTTCACTGCTGCAGTGATTCCAGCCTTCTCCGTGGATGAAATCTAAAAAAAAGATCTCGTTAAATTAGATAATATTGTCTGTACAATGGGCTACGATAAAAAAAATCAAAAATTGAAAAATATGGCGGCGTTTAAAAAAAATAGTCGAATTTTACCCAAAATTTTGGTCGTTTTTGGCCTGCCAAAATTCGACTTTTTGATCAGATCAAAAATCGATAGGTCATTGCACGGAGAACTATATATAGAACATGTAAAAAAAATTCGATAGTGATCGGATCATTTGTTTTTGAGTAATAACTGCAGCAAATTCGGAAAATGCTGTTTCGAGAAAAACGCGTTTAAAAATAAAGGTATCGATTTCAAATTTTACTATGTTATTTTTAAAGGTATAACCTATCGAAATATGAAAAAAATAAGATTTTTTTTTTGAAAATTTCACACTAGGTGTGCCCCTTAACATAAAATGAAATTTACATACTTTAAAAACTGTAAGTCTGAATTTGGGTTAAAATGCAATGTTTTAAATAAAAAAAACATGTGGTATTACACTTAGCTTACACAAAAATGTAATTCACATTACATGCAAAATAACATCGATTATCCTGTTTAAACTGAACAGTTAAATACATTCCGAGCTTCTTATTTTTTTGTGCATACTAGGGTAGATAATTTTTTTATTCAGTAGTTTTTATATTCAGGTTTTGAACTGCCTATATTACACTTATTGTATTATAGGATTAGTTAAGGAGCACTACACTCCAAATAAAATTGCCATCTGTACAACAACAAGCAATTTGAACTCATTATAAGAGCTTTGTACTACCTTCGACATTTTTATAGAGTCTCCGAAGTTTCCCGTAGGATGTTACAAACTTTGTGGTAAACTTAATATGGACTGTATAAATAGATACTTCACGCTTGCACATCGTGGACAGATATTACAATCTATCGGTTGCCTATAGCGGAATGCATTAAATACAACCAACTCGCCTCCAGTCAGGAGACGGTGTACCAGCCAAAATACGCCTGTAGTTATAACAGGGAAAACAGAGAGTACCAACCAATACCAACCAATACCAACCCTAATCCTAAGTGCCGAACTATCCGCCTCCAAAACCGCCGTGCATGACAACCATAGTACACTGGCTGCTAAAGGTGATACACAGCGCAAAAAGCATATTCGGGAGGATAAACACAGATATGGGTGCTGAGTTTCCTGGAAAAAAACACCCCAAGAAAAATTGGGTAACAAAAAAACCGAGAATAGCCAAGCTAAACACAATAGCAAGAAATTTCAACAATGCCCAGCCTCTAGGTATCCATTATAAATGAATGCTCTTCCTTCAAGAAAGTTGAAACAAAGTTTCGGTGCAATCGGAGGACTTTTCGAGTTTTGGCCAGCTTTTTCCGAAAATCGGCCACTACTACGTACTTGATAACCCCGCGGCAGCCATTTTTACACTTATTGGCGAATACGCTACTAAATGTAGCATCCCTTAAGCACATAGCCGCGAAGGACATCCGAAAGAGACCTTGTGCTCGCATTTGGATGCCCCCGTAGAGGAGCCGGGTGAAACAACTTCTCCTTTATACACCGGCAGCAAAACTAGCATATTTTCGGGTAACTAATTTTATAACATTTATATAAATAAAGCAACACCAAAGCTTCGTCAGGATCTCTTCCCTAACTCTGAGCCATTGGATAGTTTAAGACAAGGAGACTCCCTAGCGCGTGACTCTTTTAATCTACTGTTATAGAAAATAATATGAGCTGCAGAACTACAGAACTAAATAAGGAACGTACAATCTTCTCTAAGATGATATTGAAATCATTGGCCTCAAATACCCTCCACCTTTGACAGCTGCTGCTTACTTTCGAAAATCATTTGCAGGAAAAACTTAAGTATAGTAAATTTTCCGATTTAGAAGCACCCTAATGTTTGTTCACGTAGCTGCATACCACAAGTTAAATACCGATTTGTATGCTGGTGCAACCACAACTACATAAATTTCAATTATCAACTTCAATGTTAAATGCATTCCTGCCAATATTTCACCTTCGTACGCTGGTACAATGTGCTCTGTTTGTATGTATGGATGTAAGCATTGGTCTACTTATGGCTTAAAATGCAAATATATATAATATATATCTTTATATATAATGCATTTGCTTTTATTGCACTCACCTCTACTGGTTGTAGCGATGACGACCAGAAAGGTTATCGTGAGTAACACGATAATATCAGTCGTTCTTGCGCTTTCGATACGTTTCACTCCAACGTTTGGTCGCTGCATAATCAAACGAAGGTTTTCGCCGTTTACTCACTTTCCCATTCACTAGCTTATCACCCATCGGTTCGGAAGACATACATAAAATATGTGAGGCCACAAAGAAGCGATGAATTTTTCAATTGCAAATGAACAGCTTTTGGTGGATCCACGCAAGACATGATTTATTAGTTAAACGGACGCGTAAACGCTGCAAATAAAGACGAGGAAAAGCAAAGAGTAAATATTTCAGTATTATGTCAAACAAGTCGCGTTTCATTAAATATGTATAAGCATTTATGGATAGCGAATCGCCAATTTAGATGAGCTAAATATTTATACAACCAAATACAGACACACCTTAATAATTACCCTCCAAACGCACATACTTACATATGTAAATATATCTTAAAAGTTGATTGCGACAAAGCTTGAGGCCATACATTACGAATAAAGATTCTTCTGAACTAACAGTACACGTCAGGTCTCTCTTCTAATTCACTCAAGCGACCAGTAAACTACTTTCCTAATGCAAAATGTATATGATACCTGTTATAATTTTTCGTGTCTTTATTAATGCATTAAAAGCAAAACATTGTAAGGGTTGTAAAACCAAAAGTGTCACATGTGTGTTAGGATTACAAAGCACATTTATGTGCTTTTGTCATTATGGAAGTATGTTTTCGCAGAGCATTTTAAACGAAATTCGTGTGTAAAGGCGAAATGTGAGAATCTCTCGAGTTTATTACAAAATTTCACAAAACTCAAGAAGCTTAAATTATCATACCCCCAAAAATCATTGAATGACTTAAATCAGTTATTTTGAACGTTATTTATTTATTATTATAATCACCAGCTGATAATCTTTGAAAACTACAAAAATGTCGTGCCATTTCATTGGTTACAAGGGAAGTCATTGCGTTTTAATTGTCAGTATGTATGTGTTATTGGTGCGAAAATGAGCTCCGAACACGGAGCCAACTATAAATTTTGTTTTAAAATTTCTATACTCTGATATAAGTATTTAATTATATTTTTCGTGCCGTCTCTTTTAAAATTTTACAACTATGCATCTATCAGTATGCACTCTTCTCCAATACTTTTAACACTTGTTGTTTTATTAAAACATATTATATATATTGACACTTCTAATTGCACGTTTTTGCACTGAAATTGACTCGCCGCCGGATTATTCTTGTTTACAGTAATAATATTACTCCTCAATAAACACTTTCTTATGTGAAGCATATCCTTTGTTGCGCACATTTCTCGGTTTTGCYTTCAAATCACGTGCCACACATTATTCGCATTCATGCCACATATTACCGTTAATCGAAGATCTGACTTAAGTAATCGTTAACATGTGATTACTGGCTTAATTCAATTGAGATTTATGTGTGGAATTTAGGAATTTAATACGTTTGTTCAATTATTATATGCGCAGTTTAAAGGGTTCAAATTCTAGAAGACCAAAAAATTTTTATTTAMATTTAGGAACTCTTTTGATTCTATGCATATTTGGTAAAATACATGAGAGCGCAGATTAATAAATTAATGGTTTTTTTCAGTATATTATATATTTTCATAATTTTATTTAATTATATAATTTAATAAATTGAATTTATTAATTCAGACTTTTTGGGGATAAGAAATGTTATCGCCATCACCAGCATAATTCTATTTTCTAAATATCGTCTAGTCTGGGAAAGTCTTTCGTTTAACAGAACAGAACAGTCACACACAGAATATTATGATTTTCGTTGCTTTTGTTAATTTTGTTCTTACATATCAATCACTGAAAGAGATTAAGGTGAGAGTTCTGTATCATGTATTGATATTTGCTCCAAATGAAAAATATGAGATATGAGATATAAAATATGAAAAACTTGATATTACAGACGACAAGTGAGGTAACTCAGTGGAGTTTAAAATATACATACATACTACTAAGAGCAATAGATATTAGGACTTTGTTGATAGATTTTAAATTCTTAAATATTATTCAATAAATATTAAGACTTTGTTCATAGATTTTAAACTCTTAAAATATTCTTTAAAATCTATGTCGTTCCCCTCAATGTAATCCCGTTTGCCTTAAGACAATTGTGCCAACGTTTTTTTTTTAGTCCTCGAAACAGATGTTAGAGTCAATTTCTTGAATCGCGTAGCAATTCACGTTTAATGTTTTCAAATGACTTAAAACAGTTTACCCAGAAAGGTAGTTCGAGTTTGCTGAATAGCTAGAAATCAGACGAAAATTAGGCGGAGAGCTCACGAAGAACTTTCGAAATTTTTAGCCCATAATTTCAGCCGTTTTTTATTTACAAATAGATTCGTGGATATGATGCACAACAGTCAATAAGTATTCTTTGTTGACAAATTCTCTGGTTAGAAAAAATTCGGAGTTCACCACACCTCGATAATAGAAATTCTAACCATAACCTTGAATATTAATCTGCTTTGACATAATTTTTCTGGCTGAGGCTTATGACTCAATGACAGCTCAGATGATTTTTCAAAATTTTTTTCACTGATTTTTGCGATATTTCAACAATGCCAGTGCGATCTCCAACTGTTAATCGTTGATTTTCAAGCACCAATTCCTTTATTTTATTGTATTGACGTGTTCATCAGTGGATGTGGCCGTTCTGGAAGTGGTGTGTCGTTAACGCGTTCTCAACTCTCTTTGAATAATTTATACCTAGCAAAAAAAGCTACTCACGACAATTGATTATAACCGGAGGCCTTTACTTTATGTACTTCAGAAAGCCAAGCGTATTCTAAGCACTAATGATTATTTTGATCAATCATATATCACTGAAAGTCAAGAAAATAAAAAATTAATTCGTAGGTTTTCATGTGAAATTTAAATTACAAAATCTTACGCTTTTCTGCCTACTGTAGAATATTACTCTACCATTCGGTATGTTGGCACTAAAAATTTGTACATTAATTTGTCTAGAAATGCCCACTGGATTCTAACCGCAGTTTCAAGGCACTGATGCAGCTAGTTATAAAAAGCATTGTTCACCAAAAAAAAAAAATATAATTTCTGCACCAACATGAGTGGTAATTTTTTAAAAGAATAAATAATTCACACTATATATTTGTGTTCACTAAACACTTTTTTCAAAATTTGAATAAGGTCTTCGAGGATTTCTTTAAGACGAAGCTTATGTTTTCCATTTATATAAGCGCGCTTGGCCTATAAGCCAATTTTACCATATAATTAAGAATATAAAATAAAATACAGCTGTTTTGGTTATCTAATATATAAACTTTAATTTTACTTTTAAGGATTTTTGCAGTTCTTTTCCCCATATAGTACAAATATATACCTTGCTTTTGCCTTTTATATTTCGGGATTTGGTAACCTTAGTACTGGATTCGGACAATTAACACTTTRTAGTAAAATCGGACATTTTTGATGTTAGTCAGAATGGTTTGTTATAAGATCGCCATTTGTATTATTTACAGTAATTTGAAATATAGATCTCGGCCAAAAAAGGGAATAAAGTGTTGAATATTTTCGCGCGATTATTTTTTACAACTCTCGATGTAAAATAAACCAGCAACAGAGCAACGAAAAACTTAATTGAATTTTGGCGATGAAGCACTATAAAGAACCAGTGTTTATCGATAGTCTGATGAATTCAATCGAGCTCGTAAATCACTCGAATTTCATGAAGACCGTCTAAAATAAGTTTTTGTTCAGGAATTTATTGATGTTGAACTGATATTGCAAAATTGTAATGTGAGCTATCTTGAGATTGAAACTATTAAAGGTAAAGGAAAAGGATTTGTTTATTTTGAAACCCACTTTATTTGTCAATTTTTTTAAATTTTTTTTTAAAACCTAACCATTTGTTTAGCAGTTGTCTTTCAAAAAACATGGAAATTTAACAGCTGTAGRCGGATCACTTTTCACCACGACAATGCGAGTTCTCATATATCGACTAAAGCAACCGAATATTAGAGCTCTCAAAATCGATTTCATAACT